TCGCCCTTAGTAAACATTCGTGGTCAAATAAAATGGAAGCGAAGTGTGCAACGCTTCAAAGATTGACCAATCAAAATGATACCGAAGTAAACATAGCATCTAAGTAAGGATTGGACTGTATAAATTACGCATATGTTGGTTTGTCAAGATAATACCAATCCTTCAAGACGAATACATGACTAGCGCGACCATTCGAGAAAAGTAGAATTACGGAAGTTAAAGTGAGCTCTTGTAAATAAAGCGAAAAGAATGCCGTAAAGGTGCAACATATTTAACAGAATCAATATCAGAAGCCGGAAGTCAACTAAAGGGCTAATGATAACTATCATAAAGTCTGCCATTTGATATAAATATCAGTTTTACTCTTAAATCTAGTAAAAGGTTGCAAATATGAATGTCATCTAATTCAAGCAGATCAAAACCGACATCATATGATATGCATTAAAGAGAAAAGGTGTGATATGGGCGTGAAGAGCAACTTACAAAGTCCATAGATCAGATTCACTGAGGGATTAAAACAAGGGAGAGGTGAGAAGGTGTTTAGAAGTCAAAGACTGAAAACATCCCCATGCTACTCAATTCAAGCAAATTATCTGCACCCTACTTCCCCCCCCCCCTCTCCCCCAATCAACGGCGAGGAAGGTCTTGTCAGATAATCTTAATAACTCCTCAGAAAATGTGCCCGAACAATGCATAAGGCTTCCAGAATGTGACACACACCGTACGTAAAATAGAGGTAGGAGTAAGAAAAATCTTATAGGAAGTTGATGCTTAAAGGAAACGATTAATTAACAATGATAAATCAGGATACATTTTGGTGGAGGAGGAGAAATAAGAGAGCGTGTGCGGAAGTGAACGTGATGAATGAATGAATGAAAGTGGAAGCAGCAGCAGCAGCAGTAGCAGCAGCGGCGTAAGGACACGAGGAAACTGCAAACACAGCCATGACGATGCGTGTGCATGCCGTCCAGGATGGTGACCTCAGGATGAACAGCTATGACCCCAAGCACAAAATTACTTAACTTATTAGGCAACCAGAAGTAGGCCCCCAAAGATTTCTTTCGCTGAATACATTTATTGCATTAAGGCTTGGACTAAAGTAATCGCAAGATTGGAAAGTAATCGGATTCCAAGCATTACCGAGTTAATTGAGAAAAAGGAATCAAAACAGAGGCGAGAGGAAAAAATCCTTCATGATAAGGTTATTACCCAAAAAATGTTACCCATGAAGGCAAAATATTAAAGCAGAAATGTGGTGCATTGCCTTATGGTCGAGTGTCAAATATGCTTGGAGGCAAGTTTAAAAATAAATGGTCTCATTTTGAGAGGTATTAAAATATAAGCACGGGAAAGCAATTTATCTATTAATAAAAAGGGGTTCTCTGTGAACTAAAGTGCTAAGTAAAGTTTGAACAATTCGAATGAAGCCCTCTCCAAAGGCTTTAGGAAAAGTACTTCACGTGAAAGTTACAAAAATAGACCAAACAAAAGGTCAAACAACCTGAAAGCGGATATTTTATTCCAGCGGATTGAGTGGCGTAAAAAACCAAACGTGTAAAAGAATTACGCAGAATTATGGCTAATTTGATGAAGACCAACGCTTTAAGAGCAACGCAATACAAAAAAAGGATCGAAAAAGATCTGTCGATTTGTCACTACTGTAAAGCATGCTAAAGCACGCCTTTAAATTTTAACTTTAGTCCAAAAAGAAACCCAAGTTCATTTGTAATGCGTTATTGTAAACGTAAGGTGACCATAAGCTGAGCCACGAACACTTATAAAATGAATAACAAATAATAAATTGCAAATAGTAGGAAAGAGCAGACAATAATTTACCCGATATTTCCCGTCCACTACACCAACAACTCCGATAGGCTCATTGGGATCAACCTTTTCAACAACCCTGACTGCACAATCGGCAGCACGGCAAATGCAGAAACCTGTGAATGCAGGATCAGCCATTTGAATGAGCACATTATCCACTCCATAGATGTGGACGTATTGAATACCTCGAGATTTCATGTTTTGTAAGATACCTCTGTCTGCAAGAGCCCTGTAGAGACCACCATTGCCCTCTAGAAAGCAGTTAAAAGTTTGAAAACATCATTACCTGGAGACCAACAGAGTGAAGACTTGGTCTTCATGAGAATTTTGCCCTTCATGTCCAAAACCGGATGGTTAAATTGTTCAAAGAAAATAACATGGTCACGGCTGTAACCGAAGTAGTTATTTTGTCGAAAATATTCTTCCGTAAGTTTTTGAGTGCAATCAGATGTCATTATGTACCTATAAAACGAAATTTTAATTAAGAAGTTGTGCAACAAAGAAAAATACATGCCATGGAATGAAGATCTGTTGGCCTATTTCCTTGGAAACTTTACGACAAAGATTGAGCAATCGTTCGGCTTGAATTTGGAAAAGAGATCGATTAGATGGCAGGCCCACGTTATACATTCCTTTAGGATTTTCGGATCCCAAACGGGTTCCTTGACCACCAGCCAGTAGAACGACTGCCACCTTTTTCTCGGCGATTGCATTTAAACCTGCACTTTATTTTTTTAATTTCACTAAACTCAGAAAAAAACCTTTTTCTATCATTAAATTATATTCTCGAGGGTTGGAGGTAAGTATTGAGCCCGCATGAGCGCAAACCGATGGGTCAGGGCACATAAGCCTTTCATCAATTGCATGATGATCTCCTGCTAACTTTAAATAAATGTATAATAATATAAGTTCGCATATTTTAGAATGGCAAATGCATAGTTTTCACTCTATCCATACCTTTAATGCACTCTAAAGAAAGAATAATATTGAAATAATTGATCAAATACCTTATAGGCGGAATTAATGCGATCTAAATTAAGAGAAACTAGTTCATCAAAATAATGACCTTTGTCTCCATCACTTATATCATCCCAAAACTTGTATAGGTGGCTTTGGCCATTCACATCGAGCAGAGGTTTCACTTGAGATATGTCAGCTAGCATCGTCCACCAACCTTGAAAAACGACCTTCGACAATATAAATTAAGCACTGTGTATAATTGATGCCAACAAACTCTACTATAAAATTATTTTAAAATCATTGTAGACTGTTAATACCATGATTATTTAACTAAAACTCAAAATTTGATTAATTTTCATCAATTAAATCATAGCTTGTTTTGTTAATTAAAGACACTATGTCTCAGGACCATATCTGATTATAAGTTTTCACTTAATTTAAATCTCCTGCTCTTTTCGTCACTGCATTTATCTGAATGTTCTGAAACTCTAATTTAAAGAGAAATATATGGAATTTTCAACTATTAGATGCAACACAATTAAGTCTTGCAAAATCTTCTGACTCAAATTTGCTCCCGAAATTGTCAAGACTACCTTCAAAGTTTATTTATTTATTTACATCAAATGGCAGGCGTTTTGATGGTTATCATTAGTCCTTTAGTTGACTTCAGGCTTCACAGAGGGGAAGGAACATAAAAGTGAAAAAAGTCGAGAGGAGGCGAAGGTTGAAAATTTAGAAAAAATGTGATGTAGTACTGTACGAAGGTTGAAAATTTAGAAAAATGTGATGTAGTACTGTGAAAGTGGTCGAATATG